TTGCAGTTGGGCCAGGATTGCCTCAATGCCTGTGTAGATTTGTAGATCTTCACCTGAGCATCAACAGCTGCCTGAGCTAGGGGCACAAACCCACCCAGCTATGTCACAGAGCTGCTGTTGCTGTTTATTTTCACTGACATTAGTAACTTCTTTTGCAGAAATCCTGCCTTGTTTCAAATTTTGAATGAATGGAGCATGTTGAGGCACTGTGTATTTCCCTTTCTGTCACATCTTTCCCTTGAGTCGTTTCAGGAGCTTTGAGATGGTGGAAGTTTAGTGAAAGGATTTGTAATTGTTATTTATCTTTGAGGCTTCATGTCGGTAGTAAGGCTTGTTTCAACTTCTGCTTAACTTGCTTTATCAAGGCTGGAACTGATGAGTATTCAAACTGGACCGTGTGGTCATGCACAGCTGGGTAGGTTGGGGTTCGGACAAGCTCTCAGATGACAGCACTCAGCTAAAATGCTTCTGTCTCATCCCGTCTCTATGGTAAGTACATAAAACACTATGGAAACATTGACATTGGGCAAGCAGACCTGTTGTCAAAAGGTGTTAGGACTCCTACTAATCTCTCTTCAGGGGAAAAAGAATTCCTCCCAGCGTACAAATTTGGCCAGCACATTAGTTACTCAGCTGCTTGGCAGCTCCTTGTTGGAAATACAAGGAACAGAATATGGACCCTAATAAAGTCGAGGAAAATTTGGCAAGTACTTCCATTAGCCCTTGATTTCACCATAGGAATAGTGCAGTTCAAAAAAAGGAGCTCTGAGGCATGCCAGGGGTGCTGTTGTCATCACTGGGATGGAGGGTTATTTCTGTGTTTTTATTGATGTTATGTAGAGAGTGCTTTTTGGCAGAGACTGAAGGCATGAATTTGCCTTTAATGTAGTTTTATTGGCTTGATTTGTATTCTGTCCTTTTCACTAGCTCTGAGGAGAGAAGATGACGCCTTTCTGGTTGTAGGAGAGCTGTTGGGGACTAAATGACTCTGAAACACCTATTATCTCTTGGAAATAATTTTCTGATTCTACCCATTGCCTGCTTTTTTGAAAATACTCTCCATTCATGGATGCGTTTGGAATTTTAAAGAAAATAATTGTTGCATGTTTGGAATGGAAGCTTTCAGAAATGTTCCCATCTGATAGCACTGTTCTGCTCCATAAATACCACTAAACTGCCATCAGTTTTCCTAAGATGTCTTACCCTGTCTGTGGGGATTAGCTTGGCAGTGGCTGCTGCTTTCCACGTTTCCTCGCCCTGCACCACTCAACACTTGTTGTTGATGTGTGATTATGGTATCACTGCCCCTCTATTTTTCCCCTTCTTTAAAAAGAAGCCCGGTACTTCATAAGAATAATAAGGTACAAGTTGTCATCTGACTGAAAGAAAGGGAGCTTTGTGGATATTTATAACATGGCCAGTGGCATTTCAGAGCCCCAGAGGAAAAACAACACAGTTTCCAGTCTTCAGTGATGTCGGATCTGGCAGGAGGCAGTGGCAGGGATGTACCAAGAAGGGGATTTTTTCCAAGCTGTTACTTAACTGATATTAGCATTTGAAGGCACATAAGGCCTGACCTTTAATCCTATGTGTAGACTTGCTGATCTCCTTACTTGAATGCCTCATTGTAGTGCTGCAGAATGAAGGGATTGCATCAGACCTGAGGGAAAACTTCTGCCACCAGAACTTGCCTATTGAGGTGTGTGGCTGCATGGCCCATCCCACGTGTAACATCTGCATACTCAGAGCTTTCAGATGCACCTCCCTGATCTCTTCTCTAGCTCCTGTCTGAGGTTGCATTCATCAGTGAGTGATCATTCATCTCCAAAGCTCAAGCCTTGTTGTATGAGCTGACAGAGAGTAGCCCCAGATTTAGAAAGAACAGTGCTGTCCTGCAGTCTTTCTCAAAAGTTTCAGTGTTCCTAGTTACACATGGACTTCCTGCAATTCACTTCTATAGTGATTCAAACCATGGTGCTTTATTAGTTTTTAATCAGTGGGGCTTTAATGGAAGAGGTTGGTGGGTTTCATTACATTCACATGAAGAGTTGGAGCCAAGAATGTAAAATGAAAACCGAAGATGAAGGGTACCGGAAAGCAGAACAGGGTTTGTGAGGCGACCAAGTGTGTATGTGATACTGTGCAAAGTCCCAAAGAGTCTTTTGTCTAAACTGGTGACATACTTCAGAATAAATTTTGAAGTCACAGCTGTTGTGAGAGGCGCCAAAGATAGCCATGCAGGAGGGCGAGCTGAGAAGTAATTTAAATAGGTGGGACTGACGCACCAAAGCTACGCTGAGGTCTTTGTTGCCGTGAGGTTTCTGGGAACACACATTCCCCATCCGTGTAGTTTGGGATGTGCTTGCAGTGTCAGCCTGGGGAGAGGACTGGAGTTACGGGATCCAGTGCTCTGGAAAACCAGCTTGCTGAAGAGAGCACTTGGTCAGGCTTGCAGGAGTGGTGGGGCTGTGCCTCGACTTGTGTTCAAAAGGACACCGGTTCAAACCAAAATGTTTTCACTGTGGTGCTCTCTAGGGGTGATTGACAGCTCCAGACACTGGCATGGCATGTCGCTCTGCCAGCAGCCTGTGGAAAGCTGTTCTGACGTAGCCAACCCACTTGGCAACAGAGCCATGGCTGGCTCTCAATGTCTGATGACTCAGTTAAGTCCTGGAGTTGTTATTGCAGTGGAAGAAGTCGTTCTGTTCTTTAATTCCTTTGTGCAGCCCGTGGATCAGTTGGATGGTATTCTGCCAAGGCCTTAGTTAGAAGAAATAATAACACAAAGATCTTTTGGGGCTGGGCAAGTCGTGATTGTAGATTCTGTGTTGGAGCAGATGGCCCAGGAGTTTTTTCTTTTGCTATCAGAAAGTTTACCAGCAGTTCCAAATCAGCTTACTTGGTTATTGCTCAGCACAACAGCTGGAGGCACTCTCGCTGCCAGCCCACCCACATGAGCAGGACAGGGCATGCACGCCTTCATCCTTTTCTCCCGCTGCTGATTTATCATGTGCTTTCCTTACCCAGAAGAACAGATCCCCAGAGCTCTCATCTCCCCATTTCTGTTGCACACTCATACCAGGAGCTCATGGCTTCACCCTTCTTGCTCATCTACTCTTTGTCAGGTTTGTCATGCTTAGGCAGGGGTAGGGCTCATGTGCTGATGTTTGGGAAGCCAAGGTCAAAGCAGGCACAGCAGTGGTTTTATTTTACATCTGCTTTGGGTTTTGGTTGGACACAATGATAAATGTGAGTTGCAGTTATGCCAGAAATCCACCTGGAGGGCTCATGTCTGTGAAATGGACTAATACGTTGTGGGAGAGTCTGTTGTGCTCCAAGGAGTTTGCACAAATGCACTTTTGCTTCACAGAGCTTATGATGGTTTCCCTTCATGATGCTTACACTTAGAGTTTTGGGCAATTTTGAGACAGCATTGATTGTTACTCTCACAAACTGAGTTGTGTCAGAGAAGTAATAGTGTGGGGCCTGATTCTGCATCTCAGCTTCTTCCCTGAATTATTTAACCTGACATTAAGAGCACAAAGGTGCTCTTTGTTATTCGGTAGGAGCCATGCAGCCCCCTCCTTTTTCTTGCTTAATGGTTGCCTATTTCAAGCACTTTCCTGAATGATCACAAGAATCTTAATGCAATATGAGATTGAACAAGGGCTGAAAGCCATCTTCCAAGTCTGGCTCTAGAAGCTGACACATCCCTTGCAACGCAGAGGCAAAGTTGCAGGAAGAGAGCATGAAGATGCTGCAGCGTTTTTGATAAAAAGGGGGCACGTGGAAGGTCTGCAAAGAGGGAAGTAAATAAGTAAGGTTAAACCTTAGTCCAGGTTTAACGCTGGCTTTTGGACTGGCTCTCCCTGGAAGGTGCTGGGTGATTGAGGATTCGCTGGCCTCTAGTGGTGACACTCGGGAGAAGCTACAGGAAGCAGCTGTGGTATCTCTGTGCGTATTACTAGGCGTGCTAAAATGCAAGTAGTGCTACAAAACATTTCGAGTTTGAACACTCCGTTTGCTCCTGAAACACTTTAAGGAGGTCCTGGATTCCTGTGCAGGAATTCCCTTGATTTTTGCAGTGTCTGTTTTAGACCCCTGGGACTTGAGGGATCTACAGTGTCTACATTGAGAGGGATGATTTTTCGATCATTGCAAGTAAGTTGTATAGAACTAGAGTGCGAGATAAAAATGAAACTTAATTTTACGAAACAACCAAAACCTTGTAAAGAGATGAATCATAGAATGCTAGAATGGTTTGGGTTGGAAGGGACCTTGTTAGTAGTGACAGGCACAATGTCATATGCAGCTCAATCGTGAGAGACTTATGGGAAACTGATTTTAAATTTAATTTTAATAGATCAGGGCTGGGACCCAAACAAGTTGGGTTGTGGTTTGGTTTGTGGTTTTTGGGAGGGTTGTTTGGGGTTTTTTTAAAGTATGAGTTTTTGTCACTGTAGTGTCTGTGGTTAAATGAAAATGCACAATTTCATCAAGTAGGTTCCCCACCAAAAGGTGCTAGCGAGCCCTTCTCGATTAAATGCCAATCCCTTGGAATTTTTCCTTCCCTTCTTAAAGCTTGCCTTCCTTGATCTGTGTCTTCCTTCCTATATCTCTCTATCCTTAGTCTCAAATAATCTACTTTATTAAGATTTAGAGTACATTCAAGGCCACACCCCTTTGAACCATGGTTTTGAGAAGGGAGTGGAAGATTAAGTTTTCATAAGAGCTCTTGGTCTTTTCAGTATATTTCAGCCTTTGACAAAGACATTTCTATTCATCTCTGGTATTGCCATTTTTGTAAGTCATGCTGTAAGTAAATAAATATTTGTAGCACATGAGTGCCTCCCACGATTCCCATTTTTCCTTTTAAAATTCTGAAACAGGCCCCACTAAGCACAGAGTGCAGTTTTGGTTCAGATCTCACTGCAGAACTCTGAAAGCAAAGAAGGTGGTTAATGCCACGTGCTAACAACATCATGATTTTCTGTTCCCAGATGTGAAAGGACCACCTACCCACAGACTGTCCTGTGGCCAGTCCCCCTACACTGAGATGACAACATGGGAGAGGAAATACTGCATCCTGACGGACAGCCAGCTGGTGCTGCTCAACAGGGAGAAGGAGGTGAGACGAGCTCGTGTTGGTGCTGCAGTATTTGCCCTTTGGCCTTCTTTGGTAAAAGGAGAAGGCAGGTTTCTTCATCTCTCGTTTATTTCACTCACAAATCCTTTGGAACGTGTGCAAGGGGGAAAAGGGAACTTTAAAGGAAATTCTTTACTGTGAGGACAGCTTGCCCAGGGTGATTGTGGATGCCCCATCCTTGTAGGTGTTCAAGGCCGAGTTGGATAAAGCCTTGAGCAACCTGGTCTAGTGGGAGGTATCCCTGCCCATGGTAGGGGGTTGGGACTAGATCATCTTTAAGGTCCCTTCTAACCCCTTACCATTCTATGAAAAGGGGAGCTAAGCTATCCTGTGTATGGATGGCATGGTGCACACAGTTACAATCCAGAGGGCCCAGATGCTGGTGGCATGAAAGAGGTGACAGCAGCCAGAGTGCAAACTCCTTCCTGGAGTTCTGCAGCCTGTGTTTGTCTGCCATTGTGTCTTCTTATGTTACTACTTCTTTTAATGGTAGTTAAAGCCACCACAGGTTTGTAAACCTGCCTCTTTATGTCAGTGCAGGCATAAAGGTAGGGAAAAGTCAAGGCTTTTTTTCCACAAGTGTTAGTCTAATATAATAGTTTCCTATATTTGGAGATGACCTGAATTTCTATGGCTTTTCTTGATTCTTTTGAAGCTGCTGTATATGGCTGTTAGAGACTGCTAGTGAGACCTGTTTCTGGTGTCGAACAAAATATTAGTCAGCTGAGTTCAGGTTTATTTGCAATGAAATATTGCCTTGCATAGGGGGAGTGGGAGGAAATGGTTTAGAGAAGGACTTGAGTTATTAGAAGGGAGCAGCATTAATGCTGATGTGTGGGAGAGGTGATCAAACACAGGCAAAATGGAAAGCCCATTTAATGTTATTTGTTTACTATGTAATTCCTTTTCTAATCTGACAGGACTGATACCTGAGGAATTGAAGTATGCGCTGTAGAAACTTAAGGAGATGTGAGAATCATTCTGAAACAGTGCTGTAGCAGCATAGCTGGACCAAAAGGATGCATCTAATTAAAGAAATGTAATCAAAAACAACTCTGGCTCATATCACAAATGCTTACCTGAAGGTGGTAATCATGCACTTAGGGGTTTTTATTTCTCCTACTACAGACAGCTGAAAGCATTTTGCTGGGAGTAAGATGAGTCTTTTGACTAGATCCTGAGGAGTAAATGTGGGGAGTCCAATGTATCACATCATTATATTCTCTGTTTAAATACACTGGGTTTTGTCAGAAGCTGAGGAAATTCAGTATCAGGCTATAGAGGGCCTGAGGTTTAAGCGCAGCAATAACCCCAAGAAAGCAAGCAGTAGTGTGCATTCTTTCAGTGTGCTCTCAAAGGAATCTTCTGCACTACCACAGCAAGGAATAGCTTGTTTTGGGAAATGCTGCATGCAGATAGGCCAAGCAGACATGCCTTTGGTGCAGGTGTGACTCTGCATACTGATAATGGGATTTGTTTCAGAAGCCTGTAGCTGGAGTCAGATTTGCCATTCTGATTTTCAAGTAATTTATGACTACTGTGAAATGAAAGGAAAAAGGGAAGTCCTTGCAGAGCCATGAGTGCTCAGTAGGAATATAAGAGATTGGCTTAGTCTCACTTCTGCAAGACTACACAGCAGTGTGCAGACAGTCCCTTACATACAACATATAGAACTGCCAGTCAGGAGAGAGACACAGGGCTGATACTCTGGATTTACACCTTCTTCTAATTTTTCTGAACTAGGAGTATCCCTTTGCACCCTTCCTGAGAAAGGGGAGGGGAGGCAATGCAGTTAAATTTTTCTTGGCCAGTCATTCAGCACTGAAAGAGGCTCTATGAAATGTGATCTAGAAACAGGAGTACACAAAGGCCTAAGGCAGCAGTGGAGTGAGATGCTTGTCAAGAGCCTGAAGATGGAAAAGTCTCTACGAGGGGAATCATACAAAGCTCCTGGGTGGGACCACTGGTACAGGGAGACTAAACAAAGCCCAGGTGAATAAAGAAGGGGGAGGTTACTTTAAGAAAAAAAATGAAGATTATGTTTAGAGTAAACTTGTTGGAAAGGTGATGCTGGAGGAACTGTTCATTGTCTCAAACCAGGCAATAGGAAACAGGAGCAGGAGAGTTTCCTGCTCTGAACATGGTCATTACTGATAGAACGGGTAGGTCAGAATTCCTTTGGGCTGCTGAAGAGGATCTTAGAAAAAGTGTTCAGGACAGAAGAACACCCACCAGTGAGCAAGAGGGTGTAGGGGAAGGAGGAGGAGATGGCAACAGCAGAGTGCCCTTGCAGCCCAGAGGGAGCACTTGCATCATTGCAAGGCTGACATAACTTGAAAGGTGTAAGTCTGAAACCTTTAGTTTTATTCTCTGTGCATTTGCTTTGTTACTTCACGGAATAAAATTCGAGAATCTTGGCCTGTGTGAGTCTGGAAGAAAACAGAAATGTGTGTTTACACTTTGTAAAATCCTTCTACAAGTGCGTGTGTCCAAGTCAGAAAGTGAAAAGCATACAAAATGTAAACGGGTAAAAGGAACAGTTTTCCATTGTTTCAGTTATAATGCTAAGTTTGGGTTTTTTCAGTTAGTGCTGCTAAAATACAGCATTATGAATTGCAGATTTTTAAGACTAAGAGAACACTACAGAAATAAACAGTGCAGTAGAGAAAATTCATTTATCGTAGTGTCCCACCACTATGAATTTATTGTCAAGGCAATTTGAATGAAGTATATGCAGGAGAATTTTGTGCTGTGCAAGAGCAAGAGTAGGTTGAAAATCGGAGGCCTTTTGAAGTGCAACTTGATCCAAAAATATCTGTAATTACTTAGACAAAAATAGTCTGGCAGTATCACCTTGTGTAGTGTAGAAAAACATTAATTACTTGACACTTTGTCAGCTTTATAAAATGAGAATAGGTGAGACTGAAGAATGAAAATTATTAATGAAAGGAAGAGATCAACGCCCAAAAAGTAAGTAGAAAGAAAATTAATCCCTGTAGGAACATGAGAGACAACTTAGCAAATAAGGGATCCTGAGTGACAGGAGATGTGCAATTATTACAACATGTCCCAGTGTGATAATATTTATTAGCATTTTCCAAGACAAGGAGAACAGACCTAGACTGATGCCCATAAAAATCAGGTATTTCTTCCACAAGGAAGAGTTTCCCCTGTCAGGAAGGTGTAGATGTTTTCATCTGCTCTGGGAAACCTGTTTCATCAGGTGGGAGGAGCTGTGAGGGTACAATAGAAGTGTCTGTAAAATCAGAGCCATTTAAAACAGGGAAAGGCAATGAGTGCTCATGAAGAGTGGTTCCAGACAAACAACACTGCACAGCACTTCCACTTTGAGGGATGTGACAAATGGGTGCACCTGGCTTTGGGCTGCTTTTTAGTTAGGCTTTGTCAGCAACTTGGCTGCAGTCCTGCAGAATGTTTTAGTCTTGTGTTCACCTAGAAAAGAAGATGAACAACACTTTTCACTGCGTTAGACTCTTCCCTCTCTGCACCAAAACCTCATCTTTCTTCTTGGATTTAGAGGTGGTTTTAATCGAGGGAAAAGGCTATCAAAGACCTACATTCACTGTGACAAGATCCACTGCTTACTGGTGCTGGTGGCAGAGACCAGCAGCAACAGCACACCTGAGATGTATTTTCCTACTCTTCCATCTCCTGTGACTGACACCAGAAGTGGTATGACAGTGGTGATCCCAAAGGATCACTGCTGCGTGGGGCCCTGGGGGAAGTTCTTCCCAGATCCCACTGCCCTCCTCCTCAAAGGACTTGTCACATTGGTGGTCTTGCAGCAAACACTTTTCACCTGTAAATAAGAGTTTGTAAAAGCTGAAACCAGCCATAGGATAAGATTTTCCTCAATTCCCAAGCAAATTTAATTATTTAATTTCCAAAAGCTCAGAGAAATGTTTGTTGTCAACATTTTTAAAGTGGATTTTCGTGTCAAAATTTTAGCTAGCTTCTAACTTTCTGAAGGAAGGTAAAAATTAAAATGAAATATTTAACTGTTTTTCTGACATGATTCCAAACTACCTGACTGTTAGATCAGAAGAGTCTGCAAATTCTCAAATTTATGTCTTGAACCACTCTTTCCAATCTTGAAAAAACTTACTGCAATGAAGACTTCTTTTTCACCTACTTTTTTTAAAAGGGACTATCTTAGTTTGCCTTTAGGAGGCATCAAATGCTTGGAAAGCTCTTACTCCTATTACTTCTGAAATCACCTCATCATCAAGCTGCTAGAAATCCCTGACACAGACTTTTTATACTTAAAAAATATGTTTGGTGGCAGGTGAGTTGGCATGCTGTTCAAGTATTTAGAGTCTGAGCTCTGAACCCATCCTCATTAAATTGTGAAATCTGTCGCAGAAACGTGACCTGTGATGAAAATTGTTAAGATTGCTAAAATGATCAGTATTGGGACTGTCCCTATTTACCTTTTTATCAGAGAATTAACACTGCTCAGATCCCAGTCCTGAACCAGCAGCCCTTCAGCATGTCAGCTGAGGGTCAGAGAATTCCCAGGTTGGTGAAGTTTCAGCAGAGAAAGAAGAGGATAAAACTGAATAGGGAAAAAAAAAAAAACAAAAGAGCTGAAAGGCTGAATCACCATTAGAGTCCTGACTCTGCAAGGCTGTGCCATTCTCTTCAGTCCTTTGCTGAACTGCTTGCTGGAGTGGCAGGGGCTAGAGGAGTGTTGGGAAGCAGTTGTCTGCCTTGGTCTTCACATGGTATTTATTTGTGCACTTCCTTGTGTTTTGGTGCCTCCCATCCATGAATCCGTTTGTCTGACCACAGAGCACTTTATACAACTGTTTAAAATGTGTCTAGTCCCAAGAGATGCAGAGCTGCTGACCAAGCTCGTTTTACATGTTCACTAAGCTGTATTATTTTTTAGAGCAGGCTGGTCTCATGCTAAGCAATAAATACTGGCCCTGCAGTCTTTGAGTTATTTCTTTTTGTCAATATAAACTGAGACTATGGTTTGGAGAAGCTTTACTGTAAATAACGAAACATTTTGAAGTCAGACTTTTTGAGTTACTTTGCTACTTTAATCTTGTCAATTAGATTGGGAGATGTATATTCTCTGGCATAGAGCAAGCAATATAGCATTAAAATGTTGTTCCTTCTACAATTTATGAAATTATTGAATGAAATAAATGATAGCAGGTTTTTTCTCAAGCCACTATAAACACTAAAAAAAGCAGGGTTTTGCTGGTGTGGACTGTACTGCTATAGGTGAACACAGCTACACCAAAGGACTGCTTTTAGTGACCCTGAGCATGTGCTCCTGCTCTGGGCAAGTGCTTGGTCCAAAGAGCTGAGTGAGCCAGTGCTGGGACCTGAGCTCTCAGACAGTCCTGCTGCTAAGGGCTCAGTCCCTGCCTGATGGTCAGTCCTGTCTCTGGTATGCAGGTTTCTGTTCACCACCAGCTCCAGTGAACAGCACATGAGTACAGCCTGTGTGCTTCTCCCAAGGATTCAGAGAGTGTTGTGGGCTCACTCCCCATTCTCCCCTCCCCTGTGGCAGAGTCAGGCCATCCCCGTGGCTATCCATGCTGTCATCAGGGTGGCAGTAGTGGGATTTTTTGTGTCAGTGGATTAAAAGAATGTTCCTGCCACCCCATGTCTGAAAGCCCACAGAGGTACTGAAGTGTGCTTGGAGAGGGACTACATTCATTTCTCAGTGGAAAAAAAGCCTAATAGTGGGCAAATCAACTCTGCATTGGCTGTACTGCTCTAGAGCAAGCAGGTAGGTGTAGGTGCAACGAGCCCACTGTGGCAGGAGTTTAAGGAGTGCTGAAGCAAGTGTGTGTGGTATGACTGGTAATAGCTGATCTGGAAACAGGGCTCACAGCATCCTACCAAAAAATTCCCTGAAGGAAATGAGAAGAGGCAGAGGATCAGGAGAGTGTTTAGAAGGAAATAAGGCTAAATGGAGCCTCCAGATGAGAACTGAAAATTTAATATGTAAATGTGATGTAACAAATGTGGCATAAACCAACAAAATTAGTCAGTGTTTAACTTACTGATGTGCTTTTGCAGAGAGATTATATAGCTGTAGAAATCACCAGAGAAGACAAGTTTGATCAGAATAAGCACCAGGGGCTTGGGAAACCTGTATTGAAAAATGGGCACTGTTTGAAGGGGACAAATAGACCAGGATAGTAATTAATAGCCATTAAAAAATTACATTAAGAGAATGCTAAGTGCTTAGAAATCAGGAAATGCCAGAACAAGTGTGGAAGAGCCATTGTAGTGTGCAGCTTATTTCTTAAAAATCCAGTATTTCTGAGATCTTTTACAACCTTCCGTGCAATTGAATGTGTAGCCGTGGAAAGGGGTTTTAACCCTTTAAGTGTGGTGGAAATAAGATGCACAGCTACATGGTCGTCTTTCATGACAGGAAGAAAGAGCCAAGTTTATTCAGAAACACACTTGGTTTTATAGCATGACTCGCAATTCCAAGAGTAGAGAAAAGGTGATTGGTTCAGAGAGAAGACACCCCATTGCCAGGGCCTGGTCACACACCACAACAGGTGTTCTATCTTGTTATTAATTCCTTTTTATTTTGACCAAATTATCACCCTGGGAGAAATTCTCCCTGGCCTTGAGCTGGGCCAGCTTATTGGCTGGGAACAGAGCTGAAAAGCTCCAGCCTGGAATATTTTTCAGGCTGTAATTTTCTTACTTTCTCAATATGTGTCCCACATGAATGATAGCTTTTTGTTTGCTATTAATACTCATTTTTCAGAGTTGATGGAAGATACGAAAGGATAAGCAGCTCAGGAAGTAGGACAGGGACTTTTTTTTATTCCTTTAGGTGCCAGCTGTATGTTATGTAGCCATATGAAAAGAAATTGCCATCCTACATGTACTGTGGTTGTACTGTTGGAACCAAAGTCCTCATCAAAAGTACACTGAGATGTGTGTTTGTTTTGAGCCTCCCTCCAGTCCCTAGGTGCTGAATCTCCCTCATCGTTGAGGTTTCTTCCAGCAGTTGGAATGTTCAGGGGAGTCCCACCCAAAGCACAGATTCTAGGCATGGTAACAGGCACCAACAGAACGTGTGGTGAGCAGTACCGAGCGGTGTGGTGAGCAGTACCGAGCGGTGTGGTGAGCAGTACCGAGCGGTGTGGTGAGCAGTACTGAGCAGTGTGGTGAGCAGTACCGAGCGGTGTGGTGACCTGCGTGGCTGCAGGTGCTGCGACTCTCTGGCTTGGAGCCACCACAAATGCAGTGGTTCACCAATCCTGAGCTCACTTATTACCTGACCATGCCAAGACCTGCTGGACCATAGCCATGAGCGTGCTGCTCAGGGGTCTTCATCTTTGGAGGTGGCTCTCTGCAGCCTGGGGCCGCCTGTACAGCGCCTTTGTCCGCCAGGTAGCTGTCGCAAGTTTTGTTTCTGCAAAGTCTAGCACGGAGCCATCTGAGCAGCAGCCTTTGCCTGACTTTCCCAGAGTGGAAGCAGCCATGGGTCTGGCGCTGGGGCAGCAGTTTGGAAAGGCAGGACTGCTTTGTTAGTCGGGGGGTCAGAGGCTGCTGGCCCCGCTCGTGGCTATCGTTGGGCTGAGCGTGCTCTTTACCACCGGGGAGCCTCCAGAACTTTGTGTTAAGGCTACAGATACCAAACTATGCCCGAGAGCTATAAGCAGAGTCTAAAATGAAGTCTCCTATCAAAATGGCATATTAACAACGTGGCCTGTGGCGAGTTAACAGCTGTCGGTGTGGTTTTTCCGCAGGTGCCGACGGAAGGGACCCCGGAGCCGCAGGATGCCTCCCGCGGGCGCTGCCTGCGCCGCACTGTCAGCGTCCCCTCCGAGGGCCAGTTCCCCGAGTACCCGGCAGATGGGGCCGCCCAGCTAGGTAAGACAGAACCTCGGCCACGGGAAATAAATACATCAGTTGGGCTGCGAGCTCTCAGAGGGCAGCACCCTGCCAGGGCAGCCTGGTTAGGTGAGTACCACCGCAGGATGTGGAGATCCTGCAACCCAGGCTGCGTGTGTAAATGCCTCCAGCAAAGCGACTGCCAAACACCAGGATTTATCCGAATACCAGAGAGATGGCTGTGGGATGCTGGAGGAACTTGGCACACGGGGAGCTTTGTAGCTGTGTTTTTAAACTCGCTAGGCACCCTGGGATTTAAAGGTGAGAGCTGCTGGATGCAGGTCAGTGGGAATGCAGCTCTTGCAGATGGCTCTAAGTGGTTCCCACTGGTTTTGAACTGTTAGGTGGTTATGTTTTACCTCACCTCTGGAATTTCCTTTGCTTCATGTTTTCACAACAAGCACCAAATAACAGGTTTTTCTCTAGCTTACCTCATCCCTGTTCAGGGTACAATTCCTAAAAGAAACAGCCATCTGCCTGCTGTTTGCTATAATTATCCATGCTGAAATTTAGGCAAAGCAAAAGAAAAGATAGGTATTAAAAATGACAGACAAAGACTCTGTTGCAGTGCTTCCCCAGATTTGGCCCAGTTCTCCCTCTTTTCCCCACCCCATCTGTCACTGCATAAAGAGCACCATTCCAGCTCTTCCCAGAAAAGAAGGAAGAGGTGGCAACCACACACAAATGAGCTCTTCTTTCTCTTCCCAGCCTATGCAAGAAGCTTTCCTTCACATAGGCTGGTGAGACTTAGGAGCAGTTCTTCCCTGCTTCACTCCTGGGAGAGTGAGCTATGAGGAATAAACATGCATCCGTAAATAGTAAAGCAGCCTTGATAACTGCTATCAAAGGTAAAGAGCAGATAAGGTATTTTTCATTTCACAGCCTCAGCTGTTTTGTTTTTACTAAGAATTTCATTTTGCAAAATATTGCACACAAGTAAGGAAAATCCCATTCTTGTAGATAGCTAATTAACACATTTCAACTGTATTGCTTATTTATTTGTACTTGTCAATAGCACTGTTTAACTCTTCCTTATTTGAGGAAGGCAGATAAAATTATTTTTTTTTATTTCTTAGATTCCAGATTGGAAGTCTGAAAATAAACAGGGTAAAGTTGGGGGATTTAGGAAGGAAAACTGCAAAATACTTTGAGATGAGTGACATGAAAAGAGCCCTGACTAGATTTTTGGTGGCGTTTCAAATGCACCTCTAAATGATCATCTTGTTTTGCCACATGAATAAATGTTCATTCTTGTTTGGAACTAAACCTGCTATTAATCATGTTTACATAGTGTTGTAGGCAGAATACTTACTCCAGGTATATGGCTAGTGAGGTGAATGAAGAATTGTATTGCAGCCAGTCTGCGCTAGGCAATGAATATTATTTATAGCTTCACAAGCTAGAAAGACCTTTAAAAATCTAAGATTTAAATTCCTTCTTCTTCTATACCATGTGCAAAAAATGGGTATATTTTCTAGACTTCACTGAGCGTCTCAATAGCTAGAAATCCCAGTGTTATTTTTTTAAATGGAACCTTGTAACATTCTTGATCTTTCTTGAAGGCCATAGGAAATGGATGACTCTGCTATTTGGTATCCGCCTTGCTGTGTATTTTGCTTCAGTTTTAGATGCAAGTGCATCTTGTAGTGTGTTATTTGATATATGCCTGACAAGAATATATTAAAAGTACAAGATATCTACATGGTCTTCTCCATGTGAGAGCTACAACTGTAGTGAATACAGATATCAAGGAGTGTGTAGGCAAAACAATTGGGCATGCAATGGGAAGGGAAAAATTGAGCAATGCCCTTTCTGTGAGTATGGATGAGAGTGAGAGGGAGGGAAGGTCATATATGATCTCAGATTGCAGTGCCCTAGGCAGTTCCCTTGTTCTCACATCCTAGTTAAAAATGTCTCTTGACATGATTACAGAATTCCTGCTAATGAAAAAAGTGGGTTGATAGCAAGCAGTGGGAATAGCTTTATGTCAAGATGCTGAGCCAGAGGACACATTAGTGAAGGGAACCATTGCACATCTTTATACAGTGGAAGAAACAGATGGTGGCAGCCAGGACCTATCACAAGCAGTACAGATAGCAACTGCACTAAAATAGCTTTGGAATGGACACCAAAAGCTGAAAGGCGCAGCTACAGTATCTGGAAGAGAAATTGCTATGCAGAGCTGATAAGAATATCATGCTAGTCCTAGGGAAGCATGTGGATAACTGCAGGCCTTGCATCTGACAGTGATATCTGAAATTACTCTTTGCACAAGAACTCCTTAGGAATGGCTCTAGTGCAGAGGTGAAGGCATAGCAATAGCATTTGCTATTTTCTCTGAGTAAGGTTGCCATACCTCTCTTGTGATTTACTAATTAATAGATATATTTATTAAAAATTAAAAAGGGGGATAAGGCTTTTTTTTCATTTGTAGAAATAAAGTTATAACTTGTATGAGAATCTTTTTGTTAATGGAGCAAATGGAACAGTGCTTCAAGGGCTTTGCATAATCAGCAGTAGCACTCATTCTGCAGATTTCTGTGGCATTCTTTACAGAATTATGCACACATCTGTGTAGCACCATTCTTAGGAAGTGTGTGGGAGAGAAACTACCCACGTTACATCTGAGAAATTGAAGCGAGAGCTGTGTAACTCCCCGAGTTCAGCATTAAGTCAAGTGTGCTTCACCCAAGGGCTGCTGAAGTATTCTCACTGGATCTTTCATTTCTCACCCTTGCTGCAGGGTTGGCTCAGCTGTTTGGGAGACAGCTGCTGCACCACCGTGGTTACAGTCCCATGTACCAAGATAGACACCAATTTCCACATACTTCAGTACAGTGAGCCATAATTTGTGATGGTTCAGCAGCTGCCAGAGGAGCAGCTGAGCCATCCCTTCTGTGCAGCAGGAACTACTGTGGTCACCCTCAAACGAGGGCCAGAGGGGCAGACACAGAAAAAAACACAAGATGGAAAGTGGCTTGTTTAAACACTGAAAACTAATAAAATAATTTAAAAACTGTAACTCCAGAGGCACTCAGCATATGCTGCTAGCTTAACAGCTTGTCCTCTGCTTGTAGGCAGTGGAGAGGTTGTTGCTAATGCTGAGATTCTTAATTCCTGTCTGGAAGATACACTGTACACTAAGTTGTGTCAGCAAGCCATCTGTTATATATATGCCATAAAATTTCCTTGATGCATAATCCTTATCATTGTAGTAATACCTCTGTGAGTGAACAGGCACACTCTAAATATGTCATTTACTTGCTAGAATTTCATCTCGGCAGCACTTACTCAGAGGAGCCTCCATTCAAGAAAGCTAAAAATGTAGCTGTAATTTCTTCCTAACTCCAGCTTGACAGCCTCTAACCTTCTTTCAAGTGTTATTTGCAATGGGCCAATTCTGTTATAAAGTGTGATTCAGGCCCTGGAGACCAGCACCTAAATGTCACAGGAAGAGGAACTCAAGCTGGCCCATCTCCGTTTTGCCTCCAATTCTGCTCCAGATTCTGCTCTTTTCTAACAGGTGTATTTTTTCCTGTTAGGGAGATTACATCCTTTTAAAGGATTGTTGTTTATAACAGTCTGTTGGAATTAGCCCATTCATATAGTAAAAGCATGATTCAGATTTCCACCATTCATGCTGTTTGACAGGCTAGTAGTAGTTACCACTTCCTTTCCCAAAATAATTGTCTTCTCTCTTGCTCTACTTCCTTCTCACCACCTGCTCACTCTAAATGAGAGCTGTTTAAGAGACTACACAGCAAAAGTTTGGATTCTGGAAGCTTTGTGGCATTAATAAGAGATTTTTTTTGCCTGCATATGTGGAAATATCAGGAGGAATTGAAAGTGATCAAAGGCTTTGGGGTTCTTTGTTGCTGTTGTTTTTTTAAAGTATTAGGAAAAAGCATCATCAGGGAGAGTTTTGAGATTCTCTGATGCTTGGAATGGCTAGTGGTGATGCAAATAAATCTTTTTATATTTGGAGGTGAAATCATACAAGAAAAAGACTGTTTAACTTGTTGAAACAAGTTAACCCGGCTTTTTCTCAGTCGGAATGTGCCTCTCTTGAAAAAAGGTTGCTGAAAGGAGGTCAGAGGTGAAGATGCCCCTTGTAAATTTTAGTTTTGTCCTCACCCTGAGTCACTAGCACTGAGAATGAAGCACTGATCTGTTTCGATGGCAGACCCAAATTGCATTGCTACCAGGTGAGCAGTTAGCTGGGCAGAAATCCTGCCTCTGTACTCTTCTAAAAATCCAGAGGCTTTGGAATTGCAGTGAGCAACAGAAGATGAGTTAAGCAGCATCTGGTTTCATTGCTGCATGGTGTGTACCTCTTAGAATAGTTCCTGCAAGTCTCTGCTGAGCCCTCCTGCCTGGGGAGGATTGCTCCAATACCCAGCCCATGCTCTTTCTTCAGGTAAAAACCTGGCAGGAGAGAACAGACAAGAGCTAAAAAGATTCCTGGGGTGGTTTTAAAAACTGCTGTTTCTAAGACAAAGTTGTTTACAGCTAAAACTATCAAAGCTGAGCCTTGCTTTCTATATATTCCAGCTGGAATGAGTATTTGTGATGAATGAAAAAATAGATTTACTCTGTGCTCACCACATCATTAAGAGCATTATACAGTAAGAGCTAGGATAAGTACCTGGAAAGGGTTACTAGTTTTAGAGATGGGGAGAGAGACTGTTTTGAAAGAAAAAGGATTGTTTGTTACCTGCTCAGTGGAAGAACCTGCAATGCACCAGTTTTTACACTCAGTAAAGATTTTTATGTTCCACAAAAATTTATTTAGGAGATATGCAGGAATTTGATATAATGGAAGTCCTGCCACTTCTAAGGAAACTGTGTGCCAACAAGCGGGCTGTCCTTCACCCTCCACCACTCAGCTTGGCTACAAAGAATATCTGCTAGAAAGTAGGGATGAAAAAATGCACTCCCCTGTATCTCATCTGTAGGAATTTATGGTGTGTCTTGATGAA